CCCTAAACCCTAAACCCTAAACCCTAAACCCTAAACCCTAAACCCTAAACCCTAAACCCTAAACCCAAACCCTACAACCCTAAACCCTAAACCCTAAACCCTAAACCCTAAACCCTAAACCCTAAACCCTAAACCCTAAAACCCTAAACCCTAAACCCTAAAACCCTAAACCCTAAACCCTAAACCCTAAACCCTAAACCCTAAACCCTAAACCCTAAACCCTAAACCCTAAACAGCCCGTCTGTTGCGTGCACGTGTGTCCAGCTAAGTGGCTTGGCGTTCCTCGTATTCAATAACTCCCTCTGGGGCGATCGGATATCGGCGCTGATCGGGAAGTTCTTTGCTTGGGACGGCGGTGTCTTGCAAAGCTACCAGATCTGGGAGTGTTTGCTGCGGCCTTATGTGGGCGACCAGTGCGTGCTGTACCGGCACGCCATGTGGCTGGGACTCCCGCTCGTGTGGCTGGCCATTGTGCCCCTGATAGGTAATCATAGCCCTAAGCACAGCCTGGAAGCTGATACACTCTTGTCACTTCTGGATCTGCGATTCTTTATGGTTGCAGCAAGTGGACTCGCCAGAGTGCGTTCCGTATGCAAGTCGAGGTTGGGCAGCAGCGGCGAGGACTCGATTTCATCTGCAACCGACATGCACCTCGCGCCGTCCCCATCAGTGGCCAGTGGCAAGGCCGAGCAGCCTCACCATCGTGGCCCACACAGGCGAGCCGTCAGCTTTCAGGACGCACAAACCGAGCCAGTGACGCCCTCGTTTCAGCGCTTTTCAGCGGAGTATTCCGAGTGTATTCGATTGCGGGAGTGGCTCGACAATCGCGGCACCATGATGATCGTTACTCTCCTCTTTATCCATCCGTGTGTCACCAGGAACATGCTGGTCCTCCTCCGCTGCCGGCCCTACCCTTATGTGGACTCGGTCATCTCTCTTGCTGCCGACGAGAGCATCACGTTACTGCCCACCGACCCGACGGATGACATGCGGCCCCGAATGGACATCGACTCAGACATCATCTGCGGCTCTCCCGACCATGCGCCGTTCCTGTGGATCGCCGTGGCCGGTCTGCTGCTGTGGACCTTCGGCCCTGTGGTATGTGGCGTGGCTTTCCTGTGGCGGCACAGAGGCAGGCTGCACAACACCAATATGCGCAAGCGGGTGGGCTTCGTGTATGTGGGCTATCGGAAGCCCTTCTTTTACTGGGATGCCGTGCTGGCCATGAGGCGTGTCCTGGTGCTCCTTATCGCCCAACAAGCGACTGCACAGCCGCGCCAGCAAGTGCTCGCCTGGATGGCGGTCGCCTTTGTGTGTCTTGCGCTGCAATTCGCTGTGTGGCCATTCGACCGAGGCAACATGGACATACTGAATCGAAGCGAACTGCGTGGGCTGCTGGTGTGGCTGATGTCGCTGTTCGTCATGCAGTATCTGGTCATAGCGACGCCGACATTCCAAGTGACCATCTCGTTGGTCATGGCGGTCATCGGTGCCAATCTGGCGCATTACTTCGTATTGGTGGCGCAGATCTGTCGGTTTGGGCTGCTGCAAATGGGCTACAAATACACAGCACTCACCGATAGGAATAAGGGCATTGGTAGGCAGAGTCTGCACGCTGAGTCCGCTGATCTTGTTGCATCTAGTATGATGCCTTTGTCCGCCTGCCTGCCTTTGTCTCATATCGTTTCGTTGCAGCTCACGTGATGACGGGTTGTGTGACGGGCCCTCTGGTGTCGTGGTTCATCCACCGAGAGGAGGACAAGCGGCGAGTCTCGCCAAAGGTCTTCTATGACTGGGACAGCGCGGCTTTCTCTGCTGACAGCCCCCCTGCTGCATCAGAGGGGTGGTGCCATCCGTCTGTCGACCGTTCGGTGCATCGGGTGGTCACCGCCATGCAGCTGACGTCAGCCGCCGTGAGGGAAGCTATCGAGAGACTCAAACTCACACACGTCCCCAGCGACTTGTAAGAACACACAACCCCACTGCCACTACCAGCATGCACAGTGAATGATCTGCCTATGTGTGTGTTTGGTGGTTTGGTCAGTCATGAGTTTCTGTGGAGCCATGCCTTCTTGGTGCAGAGCTTACGGCAAAAGCGTGTGGGTACGCGCAGCCGCACAAGGGACCAAGTGGTCGTCCACCTGCCCAAACCCGACGACAGCAGCGCCACCGTAAACAAGACAACAAGTGAAGGCCCCTCTGGCTGCATGTATCCCTGGCTTGGCTGGGCAGAAACTGCGGGACATGAACACTGCCGACCTCTCGGACGCCTTCCTCAACCAGTGCTCCACCAAAGGTCATAATTGCCACTTGATCGATTCGCGTTGTCATGTGATGGTGCTGTCTTCAGTGTCAACTCGGTCGGAGGATGGCAAGACGTTCAGTCATGTGCGCGTTGCTCCGCCGGGGGCATCCCACATCGACCTACGGGCGGCAGGCAGGTCCGCATCCCACACATGAATGCCATTGATTGCATCTGTCTGTCTGTTTGTGTATCGTGTCAGCGCTGATGTGAAGGGCATAAGTCTCTATGACCTGCAGGCCAACTTGTGCTATGTGGTGGACGAGCTCGTCAGCAGAGAGCAGCTGTACCAGGCTACCTTGCGAACGAGTGACGACAGTGATCTCGAGAAGGCCGACACGGAGGCGTCGACAGACAACCACCACCAGCAGCACACCGGTGGCTGGCGGGGACTCTATGAGGGCTTCCGCAAGGTCAAACGGACACTCATCCAGAAGGGCAGCCCACCGGTCAGTAAGCAAGAGGTGCTCACGCTCTCTCTTCTCTGTGAGCCCGCGTGTGCTCATTTGTGTTGTTCGTTGGATGTAGGATGCCATCCCGGAGGTCCTTGCAAGCCTCGCTCACTCCATGGGGGAGACGCTTGGCGATGCAGCAGATGACGTGCCCATCAGTGGGGCATTGTCGCCCGTCAGCTCGACCCAATCTCGGCTGAGCGACGTCCACACCGGCTCCCTGACGCCCCCCTGCCACCTCATGCGCGTCGATTGGCATCGGCTGAGCAGTGATGAGAAGGACAGCGTGGCGTTGTCGGTGTCGGCCGAGGCCGTCTACAACACGTGCAGCGGCCTTTCTCCATCGGGGGCAGCCGCGGTCTTTGATTGATGGATGACGTTTTATCAATCAGCTCAGGCGTCGTAGTCGGCGTGAGTGTCTCTACTTGGAAGCCGATGATTTTCTACCGGGCTGTCTTTCGTGTCGTTCGTGCTATCCGTCAGTCAGTGTGAGTGAGGGCAATGCACTCGATCCGCTGTGTGCACATGAATGCAACCGCATACACGACGTGCAATCGACGCGTCTGTCAGCCTGATGGCTGTGTTCACAACCGTGAACACAGTCGGATCGGGTGTAGTGTGCGATGCTTTCATGCGCACATGGCTATGGACAGACATGCGCCGCTTTGGCCGCTTCACATGACTGGATCGGTCATCTGAAGGCCTTTGGCGCATACAGTCGTTTACTTTTGTGGTAGTTGGGCAAGGACGGAAATGACAGTTTTTTTACGGGCGAGTTGGTGTGTTCGCCACATCAGGTAGCTGTGCAGCTAGAGGTGAACAGTTTGGTGAGGAGGGGAGGGGTAAGGTGTGGGTGGCAGCGAGTTCATTCAGTATGTCTTTATGGCAAGTGTGCGATGGCCTAGATGCAACTGTGAGTGGCGTTCAATCGACGGTGTGCTGCGTTTGGTCACCAGCATTCACGTGCCGTTATTATTGCACATGGATGACGGTGGAGTGAGTGCCCGATGGCCGCATTGCATGGGTAATTCGTTATCACGTGAAACGGTCTTTTTTTTCTCATGTGAAAACAGACTTCTTGCCACCCTCAGGCAAGCCTTGCGAGGCCTTACAGGCCCGAATGATCCGAATGCGACGCATTTGCAGTGAAGTGCCTGTGCGAAACTCACAAATGACCCCAGCCATGACGCATGCACAAAACACTTCGCGTCACATAAGTGTGTGCTTGCTTGTAAATCAATCAATGAATTGATTCAATTCATTCATTCATTCAGTAAGTGAATCACTTCATTCATTCAGTGAATCACTGCATCAATACAGACAACCCTCCTCGGTTGCTTCGCTTGGGAGACGGCCGTGATCCTGGCCTGACTGGCCACGAGG